TAAATAAATAAATAAATAAATAAATAAATAAATGTTAAAAAATATACTTGGCTCTGCATACTTATGATTTACTTACATGAAATGACCAGAACAGACAAATCCATACAGACAGAAAGCAGATCAGTGATTACATGGGGATGGGCAGAGGGATGAATGAGGAATGACTGCTTATGGGTACAGAGTTTCTTCTTGCAGAGAAGAAAATGTTCTGGAATTAGATTTTGATGATAGCTGCACAACTCTGTAAATATACTAAACACCACTCAACTGTCCATCTTAAAAGGGCAAATATTATGGTATATGAATGATATCTCCATTTTTTTAAAAAGAAAGAAACGTCTGGCCTTCCACCATAACTGCTGGATGGTACTTCTAGGCCACAGTTGACCTTATTAAGCCCAATTTCCTACCTTCCTCCAGGGCTAAACTGTTTCAAAATACCTGTGGTTACCTGAAATTTAAGTCCAATCCCCTACCATCTCCCCAAGTCTCATCCCCACATTTCTCTGCACATTCTCCCTTGGTTGAAGTCCCACTGCTTCTCTCATTCCCAATATCTTCTGGGCCCTCTGGAACTCCAAACGTGTTCTCATTTCAAGGCCTTTGCACATACTCTCTCTGTCTGTCTGAATTCTAGCATTCTTTAAGTCTTAGTCATGTAACATCCTCAAGAAAACTTTCCTTACTGCTCAGATGTACCTGGATCCTGCTGTTATACACTCACATAGCACCCAGAATCTCTTTTGGGGCATTTATCACAATCAATTAAGTAGTTATATGCTTAATTGGCCTGTCTATGTTGCTAAGAATATAAGCTCCATGAAGACAGGAAACTGCTACATCCCAACACCTACCATACTCTGGCACATTGTGGGTGGTCAGTAAACATCTGCTGATTAAATTAATAAATCCATCCAAACCTCATTTCCTTATCTTTAAAGAGGTTATAAAAATATTTATCTCATAAGAGTTGTTGATACGATTAAATTAGATAATATATAAAAAGGACTTAGCAAGTGCAAGGCACATTGTTAATGATCAAATTGGTAGCAGTGATGATGATGTGGTGATTGTTCAGCTCCTCATTTATTAAACAATATGTACTTTAGTGTGTGACAGGTGTTAAGGAGAAAACCATGAACAAAATAGTAAAATATCCCTGTCCTGCAGAGCTTACAGTCTAATAGTAACCAGAAAATAGCCAACTTCCTGACCACTTTCCTGGGCTTTGGGACTCCCTGCCTTTCTAGGCACCCTGAAACATGTGCCCTCCTATGTCACATCTTATGTCCTCCTAATTCATGTCTGTTGGTTTGTCATTTGCTTCAGTCCTCACTGCTCTTTGTTTACATGAACTCTACCCCACATTAGACTTCAATGTTTTTAGTTGAAAACATCTTACAATGAGATCAGTACCCAAGGTTGCTCCTTCTGGCATACCTTTTGTGGTCACCACACCTCACCTAACCATATCCTGTGGTTCAGAGGTATGGTAATCCCAGAGGGAAGAACAGTAATCTCAGGGTGAGTGACATTCAGACCTAAGCCTGATATTCCAGGACCATCCATTTTATGTGTAAAGTAACTCCGCAGGTGAGTCATTACTCATTCCCTGGTATGTTCTGACTTCCACAGACATCATCCTGACATCTTGATCAATCAGTATGTTTTCTGGGGGTTGATGAGTATCAGCATTATGGTCTTAACACTACTT